GAGGGAGGATTGGATGAGCTGATCTCAAAAGTCTTTTCCAGCTCCAAATCTGTGATTTTTTTACAGGAAGCCCTGTAGTAGTTCAGACCTTGATGCAATCAGCATACTGTTATGCAACACCTAAAGAAGTCTCAATATCTGTAAGGAATCCCTCTTGCTTTGGACTTTGCACAAGATATCCTCCATGATTGTGGTGGATGACTTTAGTGTGCTTAACTCCTTAATATTGATGATGTGTATTCCTTGATATCAGTGATCGAAGGATTGTTAAACAAACTTATCTCTTGTTCTGTTTGTCAAGGACTTTTATATGACACATATATAGCACATACATGGGAGACGTTTAAGATTACATTTTGCTCTACCAAGGTAAATGCTCCTAATATTTTTATTTAATTTTTAGTTCTAATTTTTCTTCCTTTCTCTTCCTCTCCTCTATCCATTGAGAAAGCAGGAAATATGATATCCATCATAATTATGAAGTCATGAAAAACATATTTTCACATTAGCTATGTTGCAAAAAGAGAAACAAGAAAAATGAAGACAAAGAAAAAAAATTGTTTCAATCTGCACTCAGAGCCCATCAGTTCTCTATTTGGAAGTGAAGAGCATTTCTCACCATAAGTTCTTCAGAATTGTCAGAGAGCCTTATATTGATTAGAGTAATTAAGTGACTATTGTTGAAATACTGCTGTTATTCTGTACATTGTTATCCTGGTTCTGCTCACTTCACTTTGCATCAGTTCATATGTCTTCTCAGGTTTTATTGAAATCATTTTCTTAATTTCTAATAGCACAGTAGTATTCTATCAAAATCATATGCCACAACTTGTTCAGCCATTCCCAAATTGCTGGACATACCTTTAGTTTCTAACTCTTTGCCATCAAAAAAAGCTGCTATAACTACTTTTGTACATATAGGTCCTTTTCCTTTATCTTTGATCTCTTTAGGACATAGACCTAGTTGAGGTATTTTGGGGTCAAATGTCATGCACAATTTTATAGTCCTTTGGGCATAGTCCCAAATTGTTCTCCAAAATATTTGGACCCATTCACAGCTCCACAGTGCATTTGTTGCTGTTCAGTTGTTTCAGTAGTGTCCAACTCATCATGACCCCTTTTGGGGTTTTCTTGGCAAAGATACTGGAGTGGTTTACCACTTCCTTCTCCAGCTCATTTTACAGATGAAGAAACTGAGGCAAACATGGTGAAGTGACTTGCCTAGAGTCACGCAGCTTATAAGTGTCTGAAGCTGGATTTGAACTCATGAAGATGAATCTTACTGACTTCAGGCCTGGTACTCTATGCATTGTGCCACCTAGCTCCACCCACAGTGTACTAGGGTTCCTATTTTCCCACATCCCTTCCAGCATTTGTCATTTTACTTTTCTGTCATCTTAGCCCATCTGATAGGCATGAGGGGGTACCTCATTATTTATATACTACTACGTATTTATATACCACTAATTATTAGTGATTTGGAGAATTTTTTCATATGACTATTGATAGATTTGATTTCTTCTTCTGAAAACTGCCTGTAAATATCTTTTGACCATCTATCAGTTGAAGAATGCTCTGAATTTTATAAATTTGATTCCATTCTGTATCTATTTGAGAAATGAGGCCTGTATCAGAGAAATTTGCTCTAACTTTTTTCCCTTCAGTTTATTGCTTTCCTTCCAATTTCGGTTGCATTGGTTTTGTTTGTGCAAAACTTTTAAAATTTAACATAATCAAAATTACCCATTTTACTTTTCATGACCCTTTCTATCTCTTATTTGGTCATGAATTCTTCCCCCGTCCATAGATCTGATAGGTAATTTTTTTCTGTGCTCCCCTAATTTGCTCATGGTGTTACTCTACATTTAAATCATGTACACATTTGGAACTTATGTTGTTATATGGTGTGAGATATTTGTCAGTGCCTAGTTTCTGCCAGACTTCTTTCCAGTTTTCCAATACTTTTTGTTAAATAGTGAGTTCTTATCCCAATAGCTGGGATCTTTGGGTTTATCAAATACTATCTTATTGTTCGTTTGCTCTGGTATATTGTATACCTCATCTATTCCATTGAACAACCACTCTATTTCTTATCAGTAAGAAATTGTTTTGATGATTACCACTTTGGAATATTATTTGAGATCTGATACTACTAGTCTTCCTTCCTTCATATTCTTTCATTGATTTCCATTATATTCTTCCCTTTTTGTTCCTCCAGATGCATTTTGTTATTTTTTTCTAGCTCTATAAAGTAATTATTTGGTAGTTTGGTATGGCACTGAATAAGTAAATTAATTTAGGCAATATTGTCATTTTTATTATATTGGCTCAGCCTACCCGTGAGCAATTAATATTTCTCCAATTATTTAGATCTATCTTTACTTGTGTGAATAGTGTTATGTTCATATAGCTCCTATGTACTTCTTGGAAGGTAGAATCCCAAGTATTTTGTACCATCTGCAGTTATTTTAAATGGAATCACTCTTTGTCTTTTTCTGCTGAGTTTTGTTGGTAGTATATGGAAATGCTGATGATTTGTGTGGGTTTTTTTAATCCTGCAACTTAAATAAACTTGCTAATTAATTGAATTAGTTTTTAGTTGATTTTCTAGAGTTCTTAACACTTTTAAATGATATCTATGGTTTTTCAAGAGCCATGGGCCTTAACATTCCACAAAGGAACAACCAAGTAGATGAATACTGAACAATTCTCAGATGATGGACTGCAGTTAGATGACCCACTGAGTTTGTCCATCATTACATGTCTTGAATAGATACTGCAGATTTATAATGAGCTGGCCTCAGAATTGACAGGGAAGAAGAGAATGAGTTCTACTTGATTTGGGAGGTTGCACAGTATTTTTAATATTCTCAAGATCCCTGGACAAAAAACGATCTTTTAAACACTAATATTCTCCTTTTCATATTATATGGACCCAAATCATGACATGTTCCCCATAGTATTAAAAACTGCAGTTGACCCCTTTCTCACTTCCCGGCCATCTTGGCAGCAGGTCTCTGGCTGAGGGTCCTCCCACACAGCAGGCAGGAAGATGGTGACCGCAACGAAGATGAAAAAGTCACTAGAGTCTATCAACTCGAGGCTCCAGCTTGTCATGAAAAGTGGCAAGTACATGCTAGGCTACAAAAAGACCCCAAAAATGATCAGACAAGGCAAAGCCAAATTGGTCATCTTAGCCAACAACTGCCCAGCCTTGAGGAAATGAGAGATTGAATATTACTCTATGTTGGCCAAAACTGGCGTACATCACTACAGTGGCAATAACGTTGAATTGGGTACAGCATGTGGGAAGTACTACAGAGAGTGTACACTGGCTATCATTGATCCAGGTGATTCTGACATCATTAGAAGCATGCAGGAACAGACCAGTGAAAAGTAAACTGTACAAAAGTATTCTTTAATAAACCGGGCCATAACCTGTTTAAAAAAAAATTGCAGTTGACCTAACCAGCAATAGATAGATGCATGGTGAATGTAAGTTGACTGTTGCATGTTAGTAATTGTGTTATGTATACAAGAAATGACAGAAAAGTTATCATAAAAGAGATTTGCAGTTAGGAAATGATTGAGAGGGAAAACAGTACAACTCAAATATTGTATTGATATTTAAAGAATATTAAAAGACTTAAGAAAATATCTCCAATGCATTGAGTATATCACTATGTAGTACCCACAAGAAGACAAGGTCAATAATTACACATCATGAGGATGAGGATGACTTATGCCTTTCGAGGGAGTACTTTCATCAGTGATGCCATTGAAGTATCATAATATTTGGGGGGACTAGCTTGATAAAATAAAGTCATGTGTTAAGACATAGACAAATTTATTGAGGCACATTCTTGGTCAAGAAGTGACCCTTGATTCTTTCTTTGAAACAATGGGGGCCATTGCTTTTTCTTCCTCTGGTCTGCTATTCAGTAGCTTCAGCAGGTTTCTCTATATTCATATATATGTATCAATATCCTACTCTGAAATTAGCTTCTGTATACCATTTTCTCTCTATGTATCTATCTACAAGTAGCTTGTGAACATAGTTATATTTTGTCATTTTTCAGTCATATCCAACTCTTTGTGACCTCATTTGTGGTTTTCTTGGCAACGATGCTGGAGAAGTTTGTCATTTCCTTCTCTGACTCATTTGGCAGATGAGGAAACTGAGTCAAACAGGGTTAAATGACAGCCAGTGTCTGAGGCCAGATTTGAACTCATGAAGATAAATCTTTCTGATTCCTGGCCTGGCATTCTATCCATTGTGCCACCTAGTTGCCCATGGACTAATACAGTTGTCAGTATATGCTCATTGTTCAATTAGATTGATTATAATTGGGGAGGTGATTATAGTGATGGAGTGCACCCTAGGCTGGGATGTGGAGGACACATCATTCATTCAAATAACCTAACCCTGAGGTACAAAATGCTTGTTGCCACCTCCCACCCCCATCCCCTACTCCCTGGACCATTTCTAATCAGTTATTTAAAGAATATCATTGGCTGTTGGAGCTCATGTTTGGCTTTACAAATGACCAGAACCTTCTGACTAAGTTCCTTCAGCCTCAGTATTGTGTGGAAGGAGTAAATGCAATAGACAGTAAGAAGAGGCAGAGGCTGCTAATTCTCAAGGTTTTTTTTTTTTTATTGATGCATTAGAAGGTAGAGTTTAATAGCATAGGATGGCAAAGTTCAAAGTCAGGACTTGAGCTTGAGGATAAGATGAAGGGAATCAAACAGAAGGGGCTAGTGTCTGCCGTGTTTTGCCCAAATGCCCTCACTTCTTCTGACAAAGGATGGGTAGAAGGATAGGGAAGGGTTTGGGGACACAAAGCAATTTGAAGAAAGGGTCTACTCATGACCCAGCTGGAAAGCAGCTGGATTATAGACTGATAATAGGCTGATCTGACCAAGAAAGGTAGGACTGTCCAATGCCTCCCCAGTTGTGCTGCTCTTATTCCTGGCATTGGGAACCAAAGAGCTCATGTTCATTGCTTGTTACCTTTGAAGTAGGAGTAAAGGCCCCGGGCAGTGAGGCCTCGCTTTCCTCCCTGAGCCTGGCCTGCTCCTCCAAGCTGGGTGGCCTCCTGACCATGAATTTTTGATTCTCTTGCCTGCAGATTACTCTGGTCCTGCTGTTGAACTACTGTCTCCCTTGTCTGATGTCTGTTCCACTCCTGTCCCCCAATAGTGGGTTCTTGGGTCTGGCAGTCATCACTGTCCTGGAACCCTCCTGTCACACTGCAACTTCTCTGGCTGCCACTACAGCCTTGTCTCCCAGACAAAGAGCTCTCCATCTGGGTGTGACCTTGGTCCCCCAGCACTGGTTCTCTTGTTTGTTGGCTCCTTTCTTGGCCCCATCCCTGACTACTTCCTGTCTGGGTCTGGGCCCATTCCCCTGTTTGAGTCTGAGTCTGTCCCCCTAACACTGTTTCTCTTGTTATCTGGCCCCTGTCCTGTCTTTGGGTCTCTGTGCCTCTAGTCTGACTATATCCAGTTTCCCGTTGTTGGGTGACAGTATTCCCAGTCTGAGTGATCCCTGTCTGAGACTGACCTCTAGTCACTGTCACCCTTGCCTGATGGGTCCTGCCTTGTTCCCTGATCTGAGTGGTACCAGTGTGAATCTGAGACTGACCTCCAGTCACTGTCTCTCCTGTCTGATGGGTGCTGCCTTGTTCCCTGATCTGAGTGGTGCCAGTGTGAGTCTGAGGCTGACCTCCAGTCACTGTCTCTCCTGTCTGATGGGTCCTGCCTTCTTCCCTGTTCTGAGTGGTTCCAGTGTGAATCTGAGACTGACCTCCAGTCACTGTCTCTCCTGTCTGATGGGTCCTGCCTTCTTCCCTGTTCTGAGTGGTTCCAGTGTGAATCTGAGACTGACCTCCAGTCACTGTCTCCCTTGCCTGATGGGTCCCGCCTTGTTCCCTGATCTGAGTGGTGCCAGTGTGAGTCTGAGGCTGACCTCCAGTAATGGTCTCCGCTGTTTGATGGGTGCTGCCTTGTTCCCTGATCTGAGTGGTTCCAGTGTGAATCTGAGACTGACCTCCAGTCACTGTCTCCCTTGCCTGATGGGTCCTGCCTTGTTCCCTGATCTGAGTGGTGCCAGTGTGAGTCTGAGGCTGACCTCCAGTAATGGTCTCCGCTGTTTGATGGGTGCCGCCTTGTTCCCTGATCTGAGTGGTTCCAGTGTGAATCTGAGACTGACCTCCAGTCACTGTCTCCCCTGTCTGATGGGTGCTGCCTTGTTCCCTGATCTGAGTGGTTCCAGTGTGAATCTGAGACTGACCTCCAGTCACTGTCTCTCCTGTCTGATGGGTGCTGCCTTGTTCCCTGATCTGAGTGGTTCCAGTGTGAATCTGAGACTGACCTCCAGTCACTGTCTCTCCTGTCTGATGGGTGCTGCCTTGTTCCCTGATCTGAGTGGTTCCAGTGTGAATCTGAGACTGACCTCCAGTAATGGTCTCCCCTGTCTGATGGGTGCTGCCTTGTTCCCTGATCTGAGTGGTTCCAGTGTGAATCTGAGACTGACCTCCAGTCACTGTCTCCCCTGTCTGATGGGTGCTGCCTTGTTCCCTGATCTGAGTGGTTCCAGTGTGAATCTGAGACTGACCTCCTCCAGTCACTGTCTCCCCTGTCTGATGGGTGCTGCCTTGTTCCCTGATCTGAGTGGTTCCAGTGTGAATCTGAGACTGACCTCCAGTCACTGTCTCCCCTGTCTGATGGGTGCTGCCTTGTTCCCTGATCTGAGTGGTTCCAGCGTGGATCTGAGACTGACCTCCAGTCACTGTCTCCCTTGCCTGATGGGTCCTGCCTTGTTCCCTGATCTGAGTGGTGCCAGTGTGAGTCTGAGGCTGACCTCCAGTAATGGTCTCCGCTGTCTGATGGGCCCTGCCTTGTTCCCTGATCTGAGTGGTTCCAGTGTGAATCTGAGACTGACCTCCAGTCACTGTCTCCCCTGTCTGATGGGTGCTGCCTTGTTCTCTGATCTGAGTGGTACCTGTCTGAGTCTGTCTCTCCCCATCAGTTTTGTCTCCAATCTGTTGGCTCCCTCTCTCGTGTCCCTGGGTTTCAGGCTTCCTATCCTGGCCACAGACTTGAGCAGAAGTGAAGTCTTGCCTCTGAGTCTGAGTACCAGTGGTCAGATTGCTCCTATTTTGTCCTGGGAATGTCTGCTCTTCTCCTCCATGCCTAGTACGGTTTTGTTCTCTCTCGACTTTTCCTGTTCCAGTGTGACTGCTGTGATCACCCCTCATCTGCTGGGTGCTTCCAGAATTCTGACTTCCTGGCTCTTGACTTCCACAAGCTCCTTCAGGACTCTCATTTAGTGTCTTGTAGCAAGCTTGTGCCACTTTAAACACCAACACAAGGAACTCCTTAAAATCCACAGTCCCTTTGGAATCTTCATCCAGTAGGCGGAAGACTTGGTCCACTGTAGCAGGATCATGAGGTTTCTGAAAAGATCGATCTTTATTAAGCCTCCTTGTCCCCCCTAGTAAGGACACGACTTAGGGTCCTTTCTGCCCCTCATCTTTATTCACAAGGTATAGATTTAGAGCTAGAAGACCTAGATCTAGACCAGGAGTTCCTTACCTGGTGTGGGTGAAGTTGCTTTTTCTTTATTAAGCATATTAAAAACTGTATTTCAATATATAATTGGGTTCCTCTTACTCTTCTATATTTTATTTTGTGTATTTTAAAACATGATTCTGAGAAGAGGTCCATAGGCTTCACCATACTGTACCAAAGGGGACCCTGATACACAAAAAGGTTGAGAACCCCTGTACTAGACCAACTCCCTCATTTTACAAATGAGGAAATAGGTCTCAATGGTGACTCATTTCATATTACACAGGTAGAAATAACTGAGCTGGAATTTGAACCAAGGTCCTCTGACTTTGGGCAGCTAGGTGGTGCAGTGCATAGAGCACTGGGCTGAAAGTCAGTAAGACTCATCTCCAAGAGTTCAAGTCTGGCCTCAGACATTTAGTAACTCTGAGACCCTGGGCAAGTCACTTAATCCTATTTCCCAAGGTGCCTCATTTGTAAAATGAGCTGGAGGAAAATGTGGCAAACCATTCTAGTATCTTTGCCAAGAAAATCCCCAGTTTAGAGTTAGAGTGACTGAAAATGATTCACCAAATTCTGACTTTAAATCCAGCCTTAGTGCTATCTTTTTTTGACGCCTAAACCTCAATAACAAGGAATACGTTGGTACAACTGACTGACTGTGATTCCTTCAGTCTTTTTTACATATCATTTCTTTCAGGCTTAACTGAAAGCACCTTTTGTAAGGTCAGCCCCATAAATGGAAACACCCAATTGAAAAAGAAAATGGAAGCATGGCCACTTGGGAGGGGTGCCTGTCCTCCATGGTCTACAGATGTCTTTCCCAATACAAGGTGGATGCCAAGTAGAACAGGCAGATTGTAAAATGCTGACCATGAGACAAGATCACTGCTAAGCTTAAAATCCAAACAATCTTAGCCCAAGGCATTTCTTTTATAGGGTTAATTCTAGGTCAAAAGCAAAAGCAAAAGGAAAATTAAGTGGAAAAAATCATGCTGGAGCCTTTGGTATGGGTTTGACAGTAAGATATTTTTTCCCATGGGTCTTCCCTTGCTCAGCCTGGTACAGTTCTAGCAGGAAATGGCTCACCTGCTAGCCTTCAAATTCTGGTTTCCCACTGACCAGGTATCAGAACAATTATTGGTGATTTCACTAGTTGAGAACTTCCTTCACCATCAGCCCTCTACCACTTGCCAGCCAGGTGTTGGGGCCAATCTTATCTGGAAGCTTTCTGACCTTAGCTAAGGAAAACTTGGACAATAGTCACAAAATTGTCATTCTTGTCCTATACTTGGAGCTTCTCTAGCTTGAGGGTGAAGGATAGGGATTGGAGGACACGTCTTGCAAGGACTCATGCCTCTACTAGAGTAGACTTGGAGAACCTAGAGTTACCTCCATGTCACCAATCAATCAATCAACCAACATTTATGAAATGCGTACTCTGTGCCAGGTTCTGTGCTAAGCCTCAGAACTCAATCATCAAACCGATATTTTGAGAGCACCTTCTGTATAGAGGGCACTGTGCTAAGCACTTCATGGCCAGTCTACTAAGTGCAACCAACTAGGCCTTTTGTGATTTGGTTTGAAAATGGAAGACATTTTCCTATTCACCTCATAGATATAAATGTACCATTTTTGAAGGAATCTAATATTTTAAAAACCACTAGAAAATAGATTTCCAGCTCCCCCTTCCCCCGCCCCGCCATATCCATAATGCGTTTTGAGTCTGCTGTAATTCATATTCCTTTTACTCGGCACCAGAATTGGAAGAAAGATGAAATTGGGATGGTGGAGACTAAAATGGAAAGGATTTCCCCACCGCAGGGTCCCTCCCCTCCTCCCGTTCCTCTTCTTCATCCTTTTTCCTCTTTTGCTTGTGGGGCTATAGTTAACTCAGCTGCTCCCTTCACAAATCCCTGGAGCAAAGCGTGTCTCAAAGTACATAAATATCCCTTGTCCAACAGTGCTCCTTTCCCACCCAGCTCATCATTTCTTACCACAATGACATCTGTGAGCTCCTGCTCCAGGAGCTTTTTGAGCTCCCCGCGGGTCAATGTGGTACAATCACCCTCAGTCCTGGCATAGCGGCTGAAGGCCTGGATGATCCCATCGATGTTTCCCAGCAACTGAGGCATCTTCAAGTTCAGGCTAAGGAAAGACAGCATCCCACAATCCCCAATTAAATGACTGGCCAGCAACCTTGGGCCGAACTTTTGCTCCTAATTCTTCTCTGTCGTATTTATCAACCAACAAGAATTTGTTAAGTGTACTCTGGGTCCTGACCTATGTTAGGTGTTTGAGATACAAATGAAAGAATGAAACAATCCCTATTCTAACTGCAGTAGGCAGATAGTCATTCTAACTTGTAGATGTGAAATTACAATGGGTTGAAGTGGGGAAGGAACAGATTCCAGAACAATGTAAGAAGAAACTTCTTGGTGATTAGAGATGTCTGGTTTGGTGGATAGAGCACTGGGCCAGAGTCAGGAAGACTCATCTTCCTGAATTCAACTCTGGCCTCATTTTACTAGCTGAGTGACCCTGGGCAAATCATTTGATTTCTGTTTATCTTAATCCACTGGAGAAAGAAATGGCAAACCACTCCAGTGTCTGTCAAGAAAATCCCAAGAGCTGTATGGTCCACAGGGTCATGAAAAGTTGGACACAAATGAACTACTGAACGATAACAAATAGAATGGGTTGCTTTGGTAGTCAATGGGTTCTACATTAATAGACGTCTTCAGGTGGAGGCTGCATGGCCATTTCCTGGTGATGATGACTAGATGAGCTAACTCTGAGGTCTCTTCCAAATCTGATTCAATGAATACTTCCCTTATATATAATGTGAACACAAAGCTTCTTAAATCCAAAGGCAAAAAAAAAGTTCAGGATATGGTGCATCCAGGGGAATGCCTCAGGAAAGGAGTTCCCTAGGAGGGATCTTACTGGCTTTCTTCCCATATTATAGTGCCTAGGAATCTCTATAGTCATGCATTTGATAGCAGCAATATCCCAGAAGCAACAAAAGCCACTCCCAATTCATTCACAAAGAAGCATGTGATCAAAAACCTTCAAACACTTTCATTGGAATTTTGCAGAAGTGCAGTTTTGGTTCAAGGAACTCAGAGATCTAACTCTGACATCTCTCTAGTGTCCTGATAACCTATGAGTAAAGGGACTTAGGTTGGGAAGGTGGAGGCTATATCAATAGCCAGGAGTCTGGGAATCAAGGTATAGCTAGATGAGGAGAGAGATTGTGGTAGGTGCAGCCAGGAAAGAGGCCAAGGACACTTTATGGAATTGAACTTGGGTTCTATTAAGACAGGAAGAAATAGGATTGGGGTAACGACTAAGTAACAGCTACTTTCCTAGAGCAATAGGAACACATAAGGTTGGAGTCTTGGAGCTTAAAGGGTAAGGCCTTAAGGAAAAGCTAAAATGAGAGAAGGAGAAAAAAGAAAGCAATGAAATTTTGATGGTAGAGAATGCGGATCAGTGAGATAGAAAGATGAAAAATGGAATCGTAAGATCACAGATTGAACTTGCAAGGGAAGTTGGAAGTTTTCTCTCTCTGTATGTGTGAAAGAGAGACAGAGAAACAGAAAGACAAAGAAGGAGAGAGAGGAGAGAGAGAAAGAGAGAGAGAGAGAGAGAGAGACAGAGAGAGAGAAAGAGAGAGAGAGAGAGAGATAAGGAAAGACAGACAAAGAGAAAGAAATAGGGAAGGAGAGGGAGAGAGAGAGAGAGAGAGGAGAGAAGAGAGATAAAGAAAGACAGACAGAGAGAGAAAGAGAGAAGGAGAGAGGGGTAAGGAAGGAAAGGGAGAGAAAGAAATATGCTAGAAAGCTCATTTAGGAAACCTGCCTGCTAAGTTAAACAGAAACTCCTAGGTCTCCCCTAACACCAAAGCTTTTCTTGGACTTTTTCCTTTTCGTAGAAACAGTGGACAAATCAGGTTGTTTGTTCTGGTGGGGACAAGCATTCACTTTCCTAGCTTGAGTATCTACAATCTGAACATAGCCTTATAAAGATTGGCTGACAGGAAAATCATCATTAAAAAGCCTGCATCTTTAGAAGATTCTTTATGAGCTACAAGCTCAAACCCTTGGAATAAATTCCCAAACTCATTTCCCAAAAGCTATTTGAGCCCCATTCTTCCTAGGAGGGCTGCAGTCTCCCTGCCACTATCCCATAGCTTGAGGGGATGGTAGCTCCCTGTAAACTGACCTCAATTCACAGATTCTTTATGTGTAGAATGGTATGGGAAGAAGGCTTGGCCTTGGTGAACTCTAAGGCCCGTGCAGTTCTAAAAATCCATGGAACTCTAAACTTCTGGCAGATTCTAAAGATTTCAGGGGGCCAATAAGAATAAGAGATTTAGCTGAGCCAATTCTGATGATGTGGCTCAGATGGTCTCCAGACAAGTTATCATCCTCCCTAACTAATCAGTGTTACTCTCTGAACTCGAGGCCCCAGGAAAGGCAGAGTAAGCCAGATTGCTTCAGAAGCATTATTCCTATATACTTCCCCATCCCACCTCACCCTCAGCCTAATCAAAGGCAAAACATACCGCCTTTCAGCCAACATTGGCCTACGGGTCCATTTCTGCAAATGACTGCCCTGGTTTTACAAGCACAATGTGCTGACATTTGTAGTGAGAGTAGGTTCCTCAAGAGAAGACTTACCTAACACACGGACGGGATGAGGCAATTGGCTGGAAAGCAATGTGTAGAGTCTTGGTTGAAGTGAGATGAGGAACTTTTATAGGGGTTTTAATTGTGCCCGTGTCTTAGGCAGGAGACACCCGCCCTATAGAATAACCTGATTCATCCCAGGCCAAGCCCAGCCCCACCTCCCACCTTGGATCATCTCACTCATTAGTGGCATGCTGATGGGAGGCTCTATTAGCAAGTCTGGCCTGCCAGGTTTGGGGTTCTCTTCCAGTTCCCCCTCTTCCCTGTGGGGATGAGGAACCTGCTTCTGAGAAAGCTGAGCTGGATTCAGCAGGGCTCAGACCACGCCGAGGTCAGACTGGGGTTAAGATTCCTCAGTACATGATGTGATGAGAAAGGAATGAGAAAGATTCTTCTAAATATCCCCAAAATTACATATCCAAATGAGGGCCATCTTCTAAGAGATTACTAGAAATTTATTTGAAATTAAAGATGTCATTTCTTAAAGCATTTTAAGAATCCTTCCTTTGGATTTGCCACTGCCAGAAGCTGTTCTGTTTGTTTTTCTGGCATCAAGCTGAAACCTGTTTTTCAGCAACTTTTACCCACTGCTCCTAGTTGGATTCTCTGAGGCCAAGCAGAATAAATCTGTCATTCCCTTTCTGATGTCACAGCCCTTCATGTGATTGAAGACAGCTAGCATACAACAACACCCCTTCTCCTCTCTATGCTAAACACCATCAGCTCCCTCAACCAGTCCTTACATGGCATGAATTTCAGGCATTTCATCCTTAAGTTGTCTTCCTCTGGACCCTCTTTGGCATGTCAACATTCTAAAGGGAACTGCAGTCCATTAAAAATGGTAAATGTTTAACAACCAGCTCTCAGAAAAACAAGTCTAGACAATTAACAAAATGATACATGGTCCTGATCTATAACATTTGCCAATTTCTGAGGTGCAGATGCTCATACTGAAAATTTAACAACCAGCTCTCACAGAGCAATATGATCTGGCTCCAATACACACCTGACAAAGATTCTAAAGAAAACAAACTGCTGTCTGGATGCACTTCCCCATGTTATACTCATGGAGCTGAGTTTTCGAACCCAAGTGTAAGACTTTATGTTTCTGTCAATCAAGTTGGATCTCATTAGATTTGGATGAATATTTTAACCTTCCTGAATCCCCACTCAGTTATCTAGCTTGTTAGCCAACCTTCCACTTTTTTTATTTACAGATTTTTAAAGTTGGCAAGGAGGTACAGGTAAATTAATCTAACTCTCTCATGTTACTAAGAGAAAACTGATTCCCAATCATTTGCCCAAGATTACGCAGCTGGACAGCAACAAAGCTGGGACTAGAACAGATTTCCCGACTCCTGGTCCAGTAGCCTTTCCCCCACATCTTGGTGACCCCTTTTCTACATTTGGCTCTGAATGACTTCATCTCATAGTATTTACTATGTGCCTACCATGCTTCAGGTACTCTGCTAGGCTCTGGGGATACAAAGACTGCATGGAACCATCCCTACTTACACAAAGCTGTTTACAAAAATCACATCAACAGATGAAAAGACAAAGGGTTGTGGTCATATTCAAAAAAGAACATTATCGATGCTGAAGGCAATTCCCTAGAAGGGCAATCAACAAGGCAATAGCAATAGTAAGTGTATAGTCTCCCAAGGTGACATTTTCTTTTTTTTTTAATTTCTTTTTTATTTTTAAAATTTTATTAATTTATTTTGATTTATCAGCAATCACTTCCATATGCTTTTCAGTTGAAAATTTTTCTCCCCCTTCCTCCCCCCCACCTGACCCAAGACTGCGCACGATCTGATATAGGCTTTACATTTACATACCCATTAAAAATATTTTCACATTAATGAAGTTGTAAGTAAAAATTAAAACCAATAGGAGGAACCATCAGAAAGATGAAACAAAACTCAACAGAAGGTAAAAAATAAGTGATAGCGATTTGACTTCCATAGTTCTTTCTTTGGATGTGGACAGCATTTTCCATCCCAAGGCCTCTGGAGATGTCTTTGATCCTCATAATGCTGAGAAGGGTTCAGTTTAACAATCTTAGTCATTGCATAACGTGGCTGTTATTGTGTACAAAGTCCTCTTGGTTCTGCTCACTTCACTCAGCATCAGACCATGTAAGTCTTTCCAGGTTTTTCTGAAGTCAGCCTGTTCATCATTTCTTATAGCACAATAGTATTCCATTACATTCATATACCACAACTTGCTCAGCCATTCCCCAATTGATGGGCATCCTCTCAATTTCCAATTCTTTGCCACCACAAAAAAGACCTGCTATGAATATTTTTGTACATGTGGGTCCTTTTCCCATTTGTTTGATCTCTTTGGGATATAGCCCTAGAAGTGCTATTGCTGGATCAAAGGGTATGCACATTTTTGTAGCCCTTTGGGCATAGTTCCAAATTGTTCTCCAAAATGGT